TTCTGTTTATACTGCCCAAGTCACACCTCCCCTACCTGTGACTCACACAGCCTCTATGAAAAAAATGGTTAAATATTTAATCAAATTGCAGAGCACATCAACAGAGCAAGAAATGGGAAATTCTGTTACGCACTGTGCAATAAGGTAAGTTACACATTTCACAGGGTTATTTAAAGGGATACTATAAGTGCCAGGAATACAAAGATGAATTCCTTGCAATATAGCTCCCTCTGCCTCCACCATCCTTCGCGTCCCCTTATCGACATGAATAAAAGGTTAAAAACTCTTTATTTCCTTACCTTATTCCAGCGTCAATGTCCCTCAGCGCTGGATCACAGCTCCACCTTCTTTCGAAGTCCCGCAGCAAGCAGCCGCTAATGTGCATGCGCGGCAAGTGCCGCACGTGCATTCGGCCACCCCATAGGAAAGCATTAAATCAATGCTTTCCTACGGTGAAATAGCTGACGCTGGATATCCTCATGCAGAACGTGAGAATGTCCATCATGAGTTACTGAACTAAAAGTCTCTGAACAGCCAGGAAGCGCCTTCAGTGGCTGTCTGGTTGACAGCCACTTATGGCAGACTTAGTGCTACAATGTAAACATGGCAGTTTCTCTGAAACTACAATGATTTACATTGCACCACAAAGTGCAATAGGGATACTGCACCCAGAGCACTTCAATGAGCTGAAGTGGTCTAGGTGCCTATAGTGTCCCTCTAATAAAGTGAGAATTCAAAATAAATTCAAAGTGAATTTGAATTGGAAAAATTCTCAAAGTCAGCTATGCTTTCAGGCTACTGTGGCCTTAAACTTAAATTTCATGGCAGGGGCATAGTCGCCTTATGGGCAGGGGGAGGGATATCTGACTTAAACTCAACCCACCCAATAAGACACTGACACTTAGAGGTATGGGTCAAATTTTCAACAGCTTTAATGATAGTAAAGATAACTAGAAAAGCTACGATTTCTGGGGAAATTGTGTGAAGTGTTCTTGCCTCCACCAGTAGTCTACAACTGGAGTGGGCGGAGTAACTGTTATCATTTATATAGAACATTTAATGGCAACGTTGTTGCACAGTTACATTAAACCATACATTTATAAAAACATTAGCAGGTGTACAAAAGGCCCTGTCTATGACATCACTTGCTGCTCCAGCCTGGCACAGGTCAGAGTAGTTTGGCAGTTGCCATTTTCAAACGGTCGTATTTGGAAAAACCAAAATCCTACAGCTACAGCTTTATATTGTGAGAATCACAAGACCCAGACCTACATTTTGATGCATAGTATGTCTCTAAAGTATTAAAAATGAAGGCACAGTCGCAGTTTAGAAATTGCCCTTCAAATTTGAGCTGGCTAGAGTGGAGTTTCAATGAATGTCAATGGATGGCGTGAGTTGCAAACAAATGGTCATAGTGTGAAAACTATCAGGACTATGGCTTAGCCATGGACATTTTTAGTGGCAGCAGGGATAGCTGAACGTTTGTGTAGGTGGGCTTGAAAATGAGGGAGTGGTGGCAGTTTAGAAATCATGTCCTGATTTTTCAGCTTTTGCCAGCTCCCACTCTAGTTTTGAACATTTTGCCATTCATTCCTGTGGGACCAAGTTCGCCACAAGAACGACGATATTCCGTGAACCATTCGGCAAAATGTTCCACCGAATAACATTAAGTGATCTTGCTATGCAAGAACACTTAACTAGAAAAGCTAAAATTTCTGGGGAAATTGTGTGGTGTTCTTGCCTCCACCAGTAGTCTACAACTAGGGATTGTGCGATTATCGGTTTTACCAATATTATCGGCCGATATTCGGTATTTTCGGCAATATCGATATCGGCCACTAAAGATACCGATATTGCCCATATAGATAGAGTGAGAAATGCTTTTCAACTTTTATTTATTTATTTATTTAGCACATTTAATTGCAAAGTTGTTGCCCAAAGTGCTTCACAGTTACATTAAAACATACATTTATAAAAACATTAGCAGGTGTAAAAAAGGCCCTGTCTATGACATCACTTGCTGCTCCAGCCTGGCACAGGTCAGAGTATTTTGGCAGTTGCCATCTTCAAATGGTCGTATTTGAAAAACTATACATCCTACAGCGAAGAGCTTTATATTGTGAGAGGTGGGCTTGAAAATGAGGGAGTGGTGGCAGTTTAGAAATCATGTCCTGATTTTTCAGCTTTTGCCAGCTCCCACTCTAGTTCTGAACATTTTGCCATTCATTCCTATGGGACCAAGTTCGCCACAAGAACGACGATATTCCGTGAACCATTCTGCGAAACGTTCCACAAAGTAATAGCAATCCAATCGGGAACAATCCGCACGTTTCAGTATATTACTGTCTATGTAGTGTAAAAACTGTGGGAGGAGTTAGGGTGGTAAATTTGGCTATAATAATAAGAAGAAGAATATATATGTGAGATAACATTAAGTGGTCTTGCTATGCAAGAACACTTAATAATAATAATAATAATAATATATATGTGAGATAAAATTAAGTGGTCTTGCTATGCAAGGACACTTAATAATGATAATACTTATGATTTACAATTTTATATATATATATATAAAGGGTCATTACATGTCACACCCCCAACCTGGTATCATCTTCCCATATTTATGTCAAGGCAATGACCACATAATACATTTCCAATATATAACAATCATATAACATGTAACGTACCAACATTGATACCCAGATACCCCTACACCACCGATGTTCTGAGCCACCAATGGACTCGATACACCACCAAGGTTCTGAGTCACCAACAAACTCGAAACCTACCAAAACATGTACCAAAACGTGTACCCTTTTAACCAATCAACTAACTAATCAACTAACTCCCCTTACTCCTTTCTTAACTAAGGCCCATTATCATTAATGTTCCTTACCCCACTCCGCCGCTGTGACCAAGCAAATAAAGCCTATAAGGGGAGAGAGGGACCAACTCTTTGGAGGGACCAAAGGTAAGAAATTAGAGTGAGGGATCAAAAAATGGCCAACCATTTATATATTAAGCACTGATCCACCAATCCCCTTCTTCTCATACCCCCAGCCCGCCTCCTAGCCCTGTCAGGGCCCTATTCCCTAAGCTGCACTTTCTCCATGGGCTTCATTTTTAATTCACTTTGAATTCTCACTTTATCAGGTAAATAAACCTGATGGACTTTTTCTTTTCAGGAAGTGTGTAGGGAGACTGTGTCTCAGCCAAGAGGAGGTGTCATTAGGCCTGCATAAACAAAGGGATTTGACTCCTAAATGACAAAAACAAATGAGTGTGCACAATCTATAAACTAGAGGTGCATGATCTATAAACCAAAACCACTTCATTAAGCTAAAGTTTAAGCTAAATGTATGTTGGGCCACAAAACTGATATATAAAACGTTGTGAGATTGGATTGAAGTATTTGTGCTATGTTGCTAATTACAAACACTGTATATGAGCTTGTAACCAAATAATTTATTAATGCTGTGCTTTTTAGAAACACTCTGTTTTATACGATAAAAATTTACATTGAAAATGTGCAAAATTCAATAAACAGCAGATTATGATTTAATATGACATGACAGGCCATATTGCATGCAATAGGAGTATAGAACTGCGGCTTATGCAGCATAATAGTTTACATCATATTAGAATCTTTTCTACATTTACTAGTTAAATTGATAGCTGGGAAACCACTTTAGATATTATGGTACAGTAGATTTTCAATTATTTTCCTTTCACCTCCTAGGTTCCAGGCTTGGCTATCATATTTTCCAGCATTAACTGTCAGTCTGCAAATGCATGTGTAAACTGTATATCAAGATTGATTTCCTCTGCCAGAAATAATTGAATGCAGAGAAGGAAACATTGTCTTAGTGTGCATAATGAGCACCTTGCAAATTAACATCTTTGCTATAAAGGTTATGTTTGATTGGAAAGCATTCTTTTATTTTACTTTACGGCGAATGAAAATGAGCAATGATAACATATTATTCACAAAAACTCACACACATCTTGCTTAATTACCCCCATTTTACACTGAGCAGTCTGTTTGTTAGCGCATGGCTAGTTCAACTCGAAGAATCAAGTTTTGGTTAAAGGGACACTCAACTGTCCAAATATTTTTTTTTTTTTCAAAATCACTGTTCGTTTAGTAGATATAAATGAAAGCATGCATGCGCTCACTTTTTTTTTATTTATTTTTTTTAATTGGGGTTATATCCAAAATCATCTTGCAAAAGCTTCAGATTTGCAGCTTTTGCATGCCCTCCTCTTCTTCCCTCAGACTTTATGTGTCTGTCCAATCACCGACTTCCTAATGCAGCTCAATGAGAAGTCTTTCCGAGGCAGGTGCTCTTAGCAATTGCCTGCTTCTTGATTTTAGCTACACTGAGCTAGCCAAACCAGAAAGTAACATGAATGGTTGTCTGATTGACAGCCTGGGGGTGTAACAAGGTTAATTTATTAGAGTTCCAATTTCTATCAAAATCTGCCCTTTTTGTAAAATGAAAAAAAGAGGATACACTTTTCCCACATAAAGTATTTTAGCAAGTTGAAGCACATTAGGGTTTCGCAGTGGTTATTTTTGGAATGTGTCAGTCATTCTTGACATTACCTATTGTCTTTGCTCAAATGAAGCAGGCATACATCTAGACATGAATACTTAATGTTTCAGTGTTCCTTAGTTAAAGAGTATGCTTATTTTTATTTTCTGCAATGGATTGCAATTAACTTTTACTTACTACACTGTAGGCACCCAGACCACTTCAGCTAATTGAAGTAGTCTGGGTGCTGTTACCTTTTTGCACTTAGTGTTGCAATATTAAACATTGCAGTTCCAGGGGGGCGTGGCCTAGCGGCGGAACGGAATGGCCGCATAGAAGCTGAGCTCCTCCGGCCCCACTCTGCCAAGCACAATATACCGGCCACAGACACAGATGGGGAAGCACGCCAAGGTGGGGAGCACCCCCAGACTATCAGGGTCCCACCAGGCGAGCAATAACGCCTCCATGCGGCAGTTCCTGGCCGTGACACCGGACCCGACCTCCCAGGCGTCATCTGAGGCCTACCCGCCATCAGAAGCCTCCACGCCACACTCCCTCTCACCAGGCCGTGATGATCAAGGGGAGACTCCACCGGCAGACTGGCTGACCCTGCTAAGGACACTACCCACACGGGCTGACCTCACCCAGGCTACCACAGCCGACCAGACCTCCATCAAGGTGGACCTTCAGTTGATGAGGGCTGACATGCAAGGTATGGCAGACCGCATGGCCCAAATAGAGGCAGATCACGATTCCCTTACCGCAGCGCAAGCGGCCCATGCTGCAAGCCACTCAAGGCAAACCGCCCAAATGCATGCCATGGCCAGATATATAGAAGATTTAAATGATAGGGGCTGCAGACAGAACCTACGAATAAGAGGCCTACAAGAAGGTGAAGACACACCCGTCCAGCTTAAAGGCACACTCACAGCCTAGAATCTAAGCTGAGGACATGGCAGCATTGATTTGGAGGTAAGGTGAGTTAACATCTCTAAACGCAATATTAAATAAATTTTGTACTCTCTGATATATGGTGTATTCAATGACATAAAATTAAGATCTAAAAAATAATGAAGGCCTTAAAGACCAAAGTTTGTCTAAGATACAGTGTATTTGGGACCAAAGCTTTTTTTGGAACTTTTGAAATGTGTTAATTTCTCCAAAATCTAAAGGTACATTATAGTCAACAGAACAACTACAGCTTATTGTATTTGTACCAATGAGTATAGTCAGTCCCTTCAGACTTTTTGCAGTAAACACTGTCTTTTCAGAAAAAATGCAGTGTTTACATTACAACCTAAGGATACCTCCACTGGCCACTCCTCAGATGGCTATTAGAGGTACTTCCTGGGCCAGTGCTGCACACTGTGCAGGACTAACTTTCAGTGTCTCCACCCCAAAAGTGGTAAGTGGCGTCCCTCAGGGTTCTGTTTTGGGACCGCTTTTATTTAACATATTTATAAATGATCTTGAAATAGGCATTGAAAGCCATGTATCAGTGTTTGCAGATGACACAAAACTTTGCAAAGTAATAAAATGTGAGCAGAATATTGCTTTGCTGCAGAGGGATTTGGATAGATTGGGGGACTGGGCACTAAAATGGCAGATTAAATTTAACGTAGAGAAGGGGGTTAAGAATGCACAAGCAATTTACACCCTAAATGGTAGTGAATTAGGGATAAGGATTTGGGAATTGTTATAGACAACAAATTAAACAGCAATATGCAATGTCAATCTGCAGTTGCTAAGCCAGTAAGGTTTTGTCATGTATAAATAGGGGCATAAATTCTCGGGATGAAAATATAATTTTGCCTCTTTATAAACCGCTGGTAAGACCACACCTTGAATATGCTGTGCAATTTTGGGCACCTGTTCTAAAGAAAGATATCAGGGCACTAGAAAAAATTCAGAGACGAGCTACAAAATTGATAAAAGGAATGGAGTTTTTTGGTTAAGAAGAAAGGTAAAAAAATTTAAATATTTTAAATTTATATCTTAAATATATTAAATTTAAATTTAAAAATTTTAAATGTAAAATGTTTAGTTTGCATAAACGGTGCCTGAGAGGGGATATGATAACGTTATACAAATATATTCGGGGCCAGTACAAACCTTTATCTGGAAATCTATTCATAAACAGGGCTATAGATAGGACACAAGGTCATACATTTAGGCTGGAAGAAAGGAGATTTCATCTTAGGCAAAGAAAAGGTTTTTTTTTTACAGTAAGAGCAATAAGGATATGGAATTCTCTGCCTGAAGAGGTGGTTTTGTCATACAGATGTTTAAACTGCAATTGGATAAATACTTGCAAAAACATAACATACAGGGATATAATTTCTAATTAGTGGGGTAATAGCTACTTGATCCAAGGAGACATCTTACTGCTATTTTGGGGTCAAGAAGGAATTTTGTACTAGTTTGTTGCAAAATTGGAAGCTCTACAGACTAGGTTGTTTGCCTTCTTTTGGATCAACAGCAAAAACAAATGTGAGGAAGGCTTAACTTGATGGACGCAAGTTTCTTTTCAGCTATGTAACTATGTAACCCTCTGGTGATTGATTCAATGTATCTTTATGAGGAGAAGCTGATTGGCCAGGGCTGTGTTTGACTTGTGTTGGCTCTGCCCCTGATCTGGCAGCCTCCTTGACACTCTCAGCCAATCTAATGCTTTCTTATGGGAAAGCATTGTTATTGGCTCAGATCAACACTTTTGATAATGTCAGCCAAGCAGGCAGAACAGGGGCGGAGCCAGCAAAAGCAGGTGGGAATTAAGGAGATATTTTACTATATTTAGTGGGGGTGTATCAGGGAGGTTAGATAGTGATTTTAATACATGCCATCTGTACCACTTTGGGATTACAACATCAGTTAACAGCTTAACCCTTTTAGCTAAGACCCCTCTCAGGACCTCAAGGCACCATACAAACTTAACTGAGCAGATATTGTTGTGGTACCCTTAGTGTTCTTTAAACCCACAATAATTGTAGCAATCATAATTTATGACAGTACCATATTTTATATCTTAACAGCATCATTATCAGGAGATTCATACAGATCATTTGCAGACCTACATTTTATCAACCCTGAAAATGCCCATGCAATTGGCACAGCCTTTTTGTTTTTCACATCTTCAGCTAGTTCTGCTAGTACAATGCATATGTCTTGCTACACTCTATGTTTAAACTGTAAATACTAAAAGGTAGCAATGTTCCTGTAGCCTAACGGTGATGGGTCAGTCACACTATCCCCCCGAAAGCTGAATGTTAATTCACTTTATCTAATGCAAGCACTCCATTCAGACTTTTCCAGTTAGCTAAACTACCATTTACATTTTAGTCAGCACAATTCAAAGACCGTTCAGTCCTGCAGGCAAATAGTGACGTGGTCAATAAACAAAATCTGATTTATTTATTTTTTTGATTTTTTTTTTTTTTTCATACACAAATTTGCAAAACCCTTACAGGAGAATGCAGCAAAATGTGTTCTTCGAATTGAGTTGTAATATATCACTTGCTTATTGTTCAGCAGTATTGATTGGATAACTGTAAACATATCAAAAGTTACCAATTCATGGCTTTAGATTCTAGAATGAAGCATGGAAATCCATAGGAAATCAATATGAAAATGGCATGCAGGATTGTAGATCATTAAGTTTTAATTAGTATTTTTTACAAAAATTAGCTTATTCACTAAACAGCAAATTAATGTAAATTGCCAATGTAGTATTTAGACTCCCTCCCCCCACCACCACCCCAAATAAACACCAATGCATTTTTCATGTTGGATCATGGTGGTAGACAAGGAAGTGAAGACTGCAGTTATGGTGGATCTGGCAATACCGAGTGACTATAACATCAGGAAGAAGGAACATGATAAGGTGGACAAATACCATGGACTGAAAGAAGAGCTAGAAAGATGTGAAAAGTGAAGGCAGTAGTAATCCCAGTTGTGATAGGAGGACTCAGGGCTGGTATCCCCAAGTTAGGGGAGTTGCTTCAACAGATTCCAGGTGGGACATCTAAGATCACTGTCCAGAAGAGTGCAGTTCTAGGAAGAGTTACCGTAATTACTTTGTTTTCATGGAACACATTTTTATTGAGAAAAAAAAGAGCTATTAAATGGAATCAGAGCCATTTTTACCAGAGGGCAAAGAGGTCAACTGCCATGGGTCCCACAACTTTTAGGGGCCCACAGCAGTGCCCCTTGGCAATGACAGGCGAACTGAGTGCATTGCTGTACGCCTGCATGATACCGCTCTGACTGTGTGTTTCTGCAAGTGTGTATCTATGTGTCATTATGTATATCTGTGTGTGTGTGTGTGTGTGTGTGTGTGTGTATCTGTCTGTGTGCATATGTCTATATGTGTACCTGTGTGTCATTGTGTGTATCTTTTTGAGTTTATATGTGTGTGTTTGTATATGTGACACTGTGTTTGCATCTGTCTATGTGTGTGTGTATCTATATGTGTATCTGTGTAATAAAGGATGGTCCAGGCACACAAGGTAAACCCAAAATAAGCAGGTTTATTGGAGCAGGAATAAGCAATGTTTCAACCCAAAATAGTTTTTCAAGCTATCACATAATTGCAAATGTAACATTTAACTCAAGTGCATAACAATAACGTGCAGAAATTAAGTGACAAATCCATGACAATTACATTTTTAAATCGTGTTAATTAATGACAGCAGTACCTCAAACATAAACACACATATACAGCAAATAAGCATATTAAATAGTTTTTTTAATCAGCTGGGCAGAATACACAAAACTACTCCTCTCTTATGATCCACAATTGAATAATTAAAACACCAACCTGATAATTTAGAGAATACACCAATATGATCCTGCATTCAGTGAAAAATCACTACTTAGTGTATCTATGTGACATTGTGTGTATCCATTTGAGAGTATCTGTTTGTGTGAATCTATGGCAGTGTGTGCATATGTCTAATTGTGTATTTATTTGTGTGTTTGTATCTGGCTGTCATTGGTAGGAGTGAGGGGCCTATCAGCAAACTCTTGTCCAGGGCCCAATTGATGTTAAAGATGGCCTGTAGTGTTATCCTATGCAAACACATTCAAGAATAAAATCGGGGGAATTTATGTTCATTAAAATAATTACCTGTTTTTTGGTTGCTCTGTTCAGAAAGTTTTGTTTCGTAAGTACCTATTCGTAAAAGGGAGACAGTTAGGAATAGGCTACTCCTCCTCTGCCAAGAGGCAATGAAGGAGTAGTCTGTAGTGTATATATGGATACAGATTTATTTTTTTTCCAGCTATCATAAAGCTTAGTTCAGATTTTTACCTTTTTGATATTTTACAATACATTCTAATTATGTAGCACCCCTATATATGTATATTGTAGTTAAATGAACACTACAAGTTCATGAACACAAACATGTATTTTATCACCCCTGACCCACCTTTTCTCCCCTTAAATAGTATAAAAACTCACCTTATTTCCAGTGTCGCATCAATATGGGGAAAGTTCAGTGTCTCCATGCAGAGCGTGCAGCACTGCCACAGGAAGCACCTCTAGTGGCCATCTGAGGAGTGGCCAGTAGAGGTGTTCCTAGGTGTTCCCAAAGGCAGTGTTTATATTAAAAAGTGTGCAAGGAGATAGTATACTCACCAGAACAAATACATTAAGCTGTAGTTGTTCTGGTGACTATAGTGTCCCTTCAAAAGAAAAATTTCCATGTGTATTACCTTTCTTACATATACTGGACTGTGAATCAGATGAAGATTTTCTTTAGATTTTCTGTGATGAAGCAGACTGAGACAGCAGTTTCTGTTTCCCTAATATCCCATACGAGGTGATAAAGCACTACTATAATGACTAAAATATAACATAATGTTCTATTCTTTCAATATCTAATAGTCACATTGTGCAGATTCAATCACGCTGGGAGAATAGGTCAAAAGAGACTACA